ATAATTAATAGAATCACCGAAATAAAACCCTATCTTTTTTTCTTTTCCCCTTTCCTCTTTCTCACACACACAGACCCTCTCTTTTTCTTTCTTTGATATCTCTCTCTCTCTCTCTCTCTCTCTCTCTCTCTCTCTCTCACACTCGGCTTGCCGCCGCACAATGCACTTCTCTTTTCTTTCTTTTGTTTACAACTAATGGCTATTATATTATAGAATACAAATACAATATAAATACAACATAAATAATATAATATATATATATATATATTTTATTAAATAACTACAACATATATAAATATGATTTATAAAAATAATACATGTAACATCATCTTCTTCTTTTTTTTATGTGTATATAAATATATAAATATTTATATTCTGATTAATTATATATAATTAAATATCACATTAAATTAATTAAATATCACATTAATTTAACTAAACAACACATTAAATTCTCATGTAATCACGCAATTAATGAAGCCAAAAATAAAATAAGATAATAATAATCATAAAAATAATAAATAATGACTTAAGAAAATTAGGATTGCTACACTTATCCCCGCAATTATTATCTTATTTCACTTTATCCCTTTAAACTAAAAATTGTAACACTTAATCACCATCATCCATTATTATCATTTTTTTCAAATTTGGACCTTAATAACGAAATACCTAATCAAATAGAATAAATTACACTTTACCTCCTTAAAATATCACTCAATATCACTCTATGCCCCTTAACTAAAAAAATTGTTTGATTTTTAAGATAAAATACAATTTTTGAATTTTTTTTTCATATTTTCATCATATTTTTTTTAGATGCATATAGAAAGTAAATATTTGTGAATTTTTTTTAAGTCAAAAAATACAAATATATACATTTTTTTTTTGTCTTTAGTGAATTTTTATTTTTTTTAATGTTCTTCATAAATATTACTTTTTAGATATTTTTAGATTAGATGTACTTAAAAAGTTATTAAAAAAATTAAAAGTTTCAAAAAAATAAAAAGTTAACTCAAAAATTAAAGAAATTCACTAAAGACAAAAAAGAATATGAAAAAAACTAATTAAAAAAAGAAAAACTAAACCAAACATACCAATAATATCATTTTAGGTATTTTATTTGTAATGTCATGTATAAGTCACATGTTAATTTTTCAACTCTTTAAGAGACAAAGTCATAACAAAATATTTACATTAATATAAATGTTTATAATATAAAGTGGTAAATATATCATTTTTTAGTTGAGGGCCTAAAATGTTATCAGATAATAGTTTAGGGGGATAAAGTGTAATTTATCATATTAATGAAAGGGTATTTTCATTCTAAAGGCCCGCATTAAAAATAATTAAAAGATGAAGGAAGTTGAGTATTACGATTTTTAGGTACTGTTTGATATAACTGAAAACTAAAAATTATGTATTGAAAACTGAATGCTAAATTTTTTAAGCTGAATTATTTTTTTTTGTTTTTCCAACTGTAACTGAAAAATTGATTGATAAAAATTTAAGTGCTTAACTAAAAATGAATTGTTTGATATACATAAGATTTAATTTGAAATTTATTATTTTCAAATTGTATATTTTAATTTCTATATTATGATGGTGGTGTGGTGGTGGTGGTAGCAATAGCGATGGTAGTGGTGGTAGTAGTGGTGGCATGGCATTGATGGTGGTGGTTGTGATGATGGTGGTAGTAGGGGCAATGATGGTAGTGATGGTAGTAGTGGTGGTGGTATAGTGATAGTGGTGGCGGTGATAGTAGTGATAGCAACGGTTGTGGCATAGTGGTGGTGGTGTGGTGGTAGCGACAACAGTGGCAATGATGGTAGTGGTGGCGGTTGCGGTTATGGTGGCATGGTGGTAGTGGTGGTGGTGGTGGTAGCGGTAATGATGGTGGTGGTGGTAGTAGTAGTAGTGGCGGCAGTAGTGGTGGTAGTGTTGGTAATGAGTTTATAAATTGAGTCAAAATTAAGCAAGTTTCATGTGACTTTAATTTTTCTTAAATTTTAGCCTAAATTTTAGGAGGTATTTAAATTTTTGAGTGATATCAATTATGATTATCAAATAAACTTAATTGATTATCACTTAATATATTCAGTTTTAAGTGTTGAATCATGTTATCAAATAATGAAAAATAAAACAAGTCATTAGCCATGAAAATAAGAACACAAACAAATTAGCGTAGTTCGTAGATTGTATCTATACCCACTCTACATATCCAATTAAGAAAAAATTTATTTCTTATATAAAATTTTTGATAAAAATGATTTGACAATTCTATTATTATAATTCATTTTTAATGATGTTTTGTATTGACGTGAAAAGTCCACATTAAACCATATCGTTATGTATGAATTTTTTGTTTACGTAATATTACTCTTGTATTAATTCAATTGGATTACTTGCATATATGGATGATTACAGATCGAGTTGGATTAGATGGCATCTCATCTGTCATCCATCCAAAATTAGGCAAATTGAAAAAAATCAATATACTTCCATCTATCAATTTGGCGGATACGGATTCAGTAAGCCGTGCGAGTTGGCAGATGGATGCGATTAGTTTGGCAATTTGGACTTTACAAATGTTAGACATTTTTTTGAATTATAGTTCATTATTTTTACAATCTCCAATAACTACTAATATGAAAAAAATATATATTATTTGTCTATAATAAGCCATGGCACTATGCATGCATATTTTTAAGTTATTGTTTTTCATTTTTATAAAAATATATATTTTATTATTTTTACTCTATGTTGTTATTTATTAGTGGTTTTTTTCTTCTTCTTCTTCTTCTTCTTTTTTTAGTTCATCTACGGGTGAATCAGGTTCATGCTGGTGCGAAATAATTGATCCTCCATCTGAACCATATTTGTGAATTTTGAAATTTCTCATCCGCATTCACCTAAAATAAGTCGAGTTAAATGGATGAGGCAGGATAAACGGATCCATAATCACCCCAACTTGCATAGACATGAAATATCTCTATTTATAGGTGAAAAATATGGATTAAGATCCTCTCAATTTATGATTGAAATATAGATATCTATTAAATAATCGATGGCTGAGAAAGATATATATAATATATCTCTATTTCAATTTAAAAATAATGGATTGAAAATTTGAAATTTAAATTTATATAATAATTATTGACCACAGATTTAATGAAATATAAATTTCTATTCCAATCATGGGATGTATTCCAACTATAGAATGACAAAGATCCTAATTCAAAAAATACAATTATGTCTCACCAATTGGGAAATTCTAATATGCACACTCTTACATCCTTAATTGTATCATTTTTTTTTAATTATAATCAATTTTCTTTTTTAATCATACTTTATGAAATTTTTAATTATGCCTCATTTTGTATTTAGTTATGATATTTTTTTTAGTTATAACTCGAAAAATATAAAATTATATCATTTTCTTCTTTAGTTATAAGATGCATAAAGTACATACCCTCATATGATAGGGATTGAACTAAATCAATTAGTCAATTCCATTTAATAGGACTTAAGATTTGATTTAGTTTGATTTGAACTAAGTGTCGTTTTGGCAACACAGACCAAAAGCTGCGTTTTGTGTGCAGCTCAAAAACGCCAAACCATCCCAAAACGCTGAAAATCCCATTTGGGAAGACCCAAAAAAGCAACACCCAAATTTATCAAACTACCCTCTAGAACATTTTAATTAATTAATTCAAAAATCAAAAAGTAAGGATATTTTGGTCATTTTGGAGTGATGTGACACTTTTAAAAAATATTAAACCAAAAATCAAAAAAATCAGCTTTTTACCAATTTCTCAAAACACCTCTAAATCAATTATCCAAACTCAAGCCACAAATCATGTATATCATAAATCATGGGATCCTCAAATTTTTTATGATAATTCGGAGAAATTATTTATAAAAATAAAAAAAATAAAAATTCAGGATTTGAACCTTATAACAAAATAAGTTTTGAATTTTTAATTTTATAAATTTAAACCCTAATTTTTTAATTTATTTTTAATCTAAGTCATCTATCTATTTTCGTTAAATAAATAATATTTTAGTTATTAAACTCAATGTATATGTATAAAAATGTACAAAAATTGTCTAAAATACCTTTTCTATTAGTTTAATGATTAAAATATCATTTTTTTGTTAGTTTTACTTAATGAAAATAAAAAAATTTATTTAAATTAAAAACAAATCAAAAAAATTAGAATTTAAAATAATAAAATTAAAATTTTGAAGTTTAGTTTGTTAAAATGCTCAAACCATAAGGATTTTTCTATAATTTTTCCTAATAATTTTTTTCACTACATCACCATCTAAGAACACCACATTAACAATAGGGAATATTACAAAATATTTACATGTCAATGAAAAAAATTATAAATTTAATTATCAATATTAATATAGTTTTCCATTGATTTGAAATTTATTTTTAAAAACTACACTGATGTACGGTTTCCCCTTAACATATCATAATAATCTGAATTATTGAACAATTACCTACTCTTATTAAGATTTTTACACACAAACCTTAGTCACTCTTAACATTACTTTCACAAAAGGGTAAATTACGCTTACAGCCTCTGATATTTGGGTTTAATACAAATTATTTCATAACATTTAAAAAATTACACTAAACTCCTATTATTGTAATTCTTTAGACGAAATGAAAATATTAAACTTGTGTATTTTCTCTTTTCTTACTTTATTTACTTCCTTTGTTTGTTTGTTTTTTCTTTTACTTTACCTTTTTTTTTCAATGTAATTTTTTCTTATTTTTTATTAGAAGTTATTACCTTTTATATAAGTAGAATGTTGTAAAATGAGAATATTAACTATAGGAATAAAGATATAATTTTCAAAATGTTAAAATTAAGATGTAATTAAATCAAATTTCAGAAAGTGTTAGTGTAATTTACTCTTCACAAAATAATGAGATCCATTGTCCCACCCCCACATAAGAGATAGAAGAAATATATAAAGGAAATCCTCCAAACCATATACTCTATGTTGAAAAACTAATCAAACCCCACCACCATCCATCCATCTCCTCTCTCTTCAATGCTCCAATTGTGCAAATGTCATTCTGACAAGCAAACTCATCAAATACCCACCTCCACTCTTCCCCTGAAAATGGACAACGCTCTGTTTCTCATTTTTCTCCTCCTCCAAACATTCTCAAAAGTTTCAAGTTTGGACCTCGGTGTTAGCATCGGCATTGGTGGCGGAGGCGGCGGAGGTGTATGGATTGGTGGAGGAATCAGCAGCCCAACAGCCCCATCTGGGACTTCATCATCTTCAAATCTCAAGAATGTCTACATTGCTCTACAGACATGGAAATCATCAATTACAGATGACCCACAAAGGGTTTTAGAGACATGGGTTGGGTCAAATGTGTGTTCTTACAAAGGGATCTTCTGTGCAGATCTTCAAAATGAGTTTCATGAGCTAAGAACAGCCATTGTTGGGATAGATCTGAACTCTGCAAATCTCCAAGGCACACTTGTCAAAGAACTCTCTTTCCTCACTGATCTATCTCTTCTTCACTTAAACAGTAATAGATTCACAGGCACAATCCCAAACACTTTCCAATACCTCTCATCACTCAAAGAGTTAGACCTAAGCAACAACCACTTCTCTGGCCCATTCCCAACCCCAACTCTGTTCATCCCTAACCTCCTCTACCTAGACCTCAGATTCAACAATTTTTCAGGACCCATTCCTGAATCCCTCTTCGACGCAAGATTTGATGCAATCTTTCTCAACAACAACAATTTTGATGGTCCATTGCCTTCTAATTTGGGGAATTCACTAGCCTCTGTGATCAATTTGGCAAACAACAAGTTTACTGGTTCAATCCCATTCAGTTTTGGCCTAATGGATAGTCCTAAATTGAAGGAAATTCTGTTTCTGAACAACCAATTGAGTGGTTGTATTCCTGAGGGGATTGGGTTGTGGCAAGGCTTGCAGGTTTTGGATTTGAGCTTCAATTCACTGATGGGTCAGTTGCCAGACTCTTTGTCCTGTTTGACTGAAATTGAAATTCTCAACTTGGCACACAACAGGTTTTATGGGGAGGTGCCAGATTTGGTTTGCTCATCACTGAGAGGGCTGAGGAATTTGAGTTTGGCTGTCAATTTCTTTTCTGGGTTCAGCCAAGAATGTGATAAGTTGGTGTTTAGGAATGTGGGTTTTGATTTCTCTTTGAATTGTATCCCTGGGAGGGGTATGCAGAGGCCTGAACCAGAGTGCTCTGTGATCCCTGGTGGTGGGTTGAGTTGCCTTAGAATTCCTGCTTTGAGTCCTCTTGTTTGTGGGACATTGTTTGAAACTCAAGAGACCAGTCTTAGCCCTCCTCCTCCATGAGAGAGAGACAGCCACGAGAGGGGGTATAGGCTGGGATTCTCTGTCTCCAAATCTTTATCCTCTGTCTCTAAGTATCCACTGTTATTGGATTGTGTTTTGAGATTTCTGCATTTGGAGATTCTCACACTAAATGTTTTGGGACTGAAGGGTTGGTGAGATTTGGAGACAAAAGATTTTTGACGGAATCTTCTATCTCCAAATCTCTTTCTGTCTCAAAATATTTATAATTAAATCGTGTATTATTTTTTTTGTGTTTCGATAATTTTAGTGATTAATGATGTTGAATATTTTGAGATCGAGGGATAAAAGGTTCTGAAAACAGTAGATATGGCAGTCAGTTATGACTCAGCGCGCTTTCTAATTTGTTTATATGTGTGTTGTATGGATAAGGCATGTCCAGAAAGCAATATTAATGGATTTATTTTAGTATGCTCTGTTCAATTTTATTATTATTATTATTGCTTTGGTTCAAATACATCAATTATTGATGACCAAATGGTTTATTATTATTATTATTGCTTTGGTTCAAATACATCAATTATTGATGACCAAATGGATGGTAGTAATAAATTAAGGATCTAACTATATTATAAGATCATGTTTTGAGGTTTTTGAACTTTATAATTCTCAATAATTCAATGACCGTACATGTTTTGAGATAGAGAAACTGGAAGATGTTTTGAGATAGAGAAACTAGAAGATTTGGAAGTAGATGATTGTTGGCAAAAGGGAGTCGAGATTCTCAATCACATGTCTCAAAATGTTTATAATTATTAAATTATATTTTAAAATTTTTATATCTTAAGATAGTAAGTGATTTAATGACTATATTTTGGAACAGAAGAACAGAACAAATTGAAGAAAAGATATATAGTTGAGAGGGAGAGAGTACAGTTCAGTGAATTCCGTGAATAATGTTTTAAAGCAGGTGAGAGATGGCAGTCTCTCATTATGACTCAAAGCTTTCTAATTTAGGCTTTGTTTGGCATTTATTAAAAAAATTAAAAAGTCAAAAAATTATTATTTTATTTAAATCACATTATCTTTTTATAATATCGCTTCAAATCCAATCTATATCCAACTCATATTTTATAAAACGCTAAAAAATACACTTATATACAACATTTTAAACCACCCCATATTTTTTCAAGGAAACAGTAGTATATTTCTATGCTTGTCTTGTATGTATGGGTATATAAGACATGCCCACTAAGCAATAGAATTGAATTTATAATTTTTTTTTTTATTTCTCTTTTTGTGTGTATTTCGGTTCAAGTACGCGACCAAAAGAGTCTGACAATATTTAATATATGCACTCACATGTTACGAGTATATCTGTACATAATATTTTCATAAAGTGAAGACATTTTTTTTTTTTTTATAGGATAAAGCTTCAGGCTTTCAGTGCTTTCAGTGGAGGTGCTGAGAGTCCCTTCATATTGATCTAAAAAATAGTTTTTTTTTTTTTGTGGTCGCGGAGAAAGACCATTCACTTGCCTTTAATCTTGCTAAGAGCGTGTGTCTCCGAACTGACATGGAGCATCACGAACATCTGACCGAGCTGAAAGCCATTCGCTCGGCAACAAAGTCTATGGTGCTGGTAGGTACCTTTTTGCTTTCCAATTCTCAACTGTTTGCTCGGTTTTAATAATACTTGTCATCTCTCCTCTTGCAGGCCATGTAGAAGAATCACGTTACTCACAAGCGCGTGTTGGAGCTGCGTAAGACAACACAGCTGGCCGTGGCTAAAGCCAATGCTAAGACAACCGAACTAGAGGAAGCTAAACAAACCTTTTGTAAAAAATTAAACCTTACACTTACATCTTTTTTGAGGTTGCACACCATGTGCAACCCATTTACACCTTACACTTTACACTTACACCTTATACTTATACTTACACCTTACACTTACACTTTTTGTGTAAGTGGCACATGGTGTGCACTTGCACACTTAAGAAAACTCCAAGATATATAGCTGAGAGGGAGAGAGTACAGTTCAGTGAATTCCGTGAATAATGTTTTAAAGCAGGTGAGAGATGGCAGTGTCTCATTATGACTCAAAGCTTCCTAATTTAGGCTTTGTTTGGCATATATTAAAAAAAATTAAAAAGTAAAAAAATTATTATTTTAGTTAAATCACATTATCTTTTTATAATATCACTTCAAATTCAATCTATATTCAACTCATATTTTATAAAACGTTAAAAAATACACTTATTTAGAACATTTTAAACCACCCCATATTTTTTCATGGAAACAGTATATTTATATGCTTGTCTTGTATGGATATATAAGACATGCCCACTAAGCAATAGAATTGAATTTATAATTTTATTTTATTTTTTTTCTCTTTTTGTGTGTATTTCGGTTCAAGTACACGACCAAAAGAGTCTGACAATATTTAATATATGCACTCACATGTTACGAGTATATCTGTACATAATATTTTCATAAAGTGAAGACATTTTTTTTTTTTTTATAGGATAAAGCTTCAGGCTTTCAGTGCTTTCAGTGGAGGTGCTGAGAGTCCCTTCATATTGATCTAAAAAATAGTTTTTTTTTTTTTGTGGTCGCGGAGAAAGACCATTCACTTGCCTTTAATCTTGCTAAGAGCGTGTGTCTCCGAACTGACATGGAGCATCACGAACATCTGATCGAGCTGAAGGCCATTCGCTCGGCAACAAAGTCTATGGTGCTGGTAGGTACCTTTTTGCTTTCCAATTCTCAACTGTTTGCTCGGTTTTAATAATACTTGTTATCTCTCCTCTTACAGGCCATGTAGAAGAATCACGTTGCTCACAAGCGCATGTTGGAGCTGCGTAAGACAACACAACTGGCCGTGGCTAAAGCCAATGCTAAGACAACCGAACTAGAGGAAGCTAAACAAAAAACGACTGAGCTACAGACAGAAATCGCCAGACTTATCGGGCTGGTCAACTCGGCGGAAGCGGGCAAGCAGAAGGCTTTGGCCGGGCTAAAAGATCGCTACTTACGCGAGTTTGCCAAACTTGAGAAGAAAAAAGATGCCGAGATCACTGAGTTGAAAAAGAGTGTGGAGGACGCCGAAGACCGCGGTTACAAAGAAGGGGAAGCCACGTATGTCAAGCAGTGCGAAGCTGCAAAAGACATCTTCTTCAAATACGGTTGGAAGGCGGCTATTACGCAGCTCGGCCTGGGTCCAGAAACCAAGGTCTTTCAAAACCCTCCTCCTCACTTTATCCCGAGTTACATAGCGGACTACGCCAACGCCATCCAACAAAAGTTTCTCCAAGAGGGGGAGGAGGAAGATGGATCTCCTGAACTAGACAATGCTCCAATTATGAACGAAGATCGCGGTCAAACCGAGCAGACAGTCCAGGTGGAGCCACTGGTACCAAGCACGGTTGTCGACGCGCCTCAGACCGACATACCTGCCGGAACCGGACTTCAGAGTGGCGAAACTCAAGTTGTTCTGGATGCAGATTTGGATGACCTCTTTGTTTGAACATCTTTTCATTGTTGAAAGAATTTGTAATCGGGCTGAAGCCCCACCTTATGTAACGTCCTTTTGAATGAAATCCTCATTTTTGTTCCATCTTTTTGTTCGGTAACACTTACATATGATTACCTTTACAAATTTCATTGCCGAGATAACTATCTCGGTTCAAGAGATTTGTAATCTTCTTTCATGCTGGTCATTCCTGCCAACCTCTTCAGCCTAGATCCTGATCTTGGCTGAAGAGAGATAAGTGTTGGTTTTTCCAACCAACCTCTTCAGCCTAGATCTTGATCTTAGCTGAAGAGAGATAAGTGTTGGTTATTCTTGCCAACCTCTTCAGCCTAGATCCTGATCTGGGCTAAAGAGAGATAAATGTTGATTTTTCCTGCCAACCTCTTCAGCCTAGATCCTTATCTCGGCTGAGGAGAATAAATGTTGGTTATTCCTGCCAACCTTTTCAGCCTAGATCCTTATCTCGGCTGAAGAGAGATAAATGTTGGTTTTTCCTACCAACCCCTTCAGCCTAAATCCTTATCTCGACTGAAGAGAGATAAATGTTGATTTTTTCTGCCAACCTCTTCAGCCTAGATCCTTATCTCGACTAAAGAGAATAAATGTTGGTTATTCCTGCCAACCTTTTCAGCCTAGATCCTTATCTCGGTTGAAGAGAGCTCAATGTTGGTTATTCCGGCCAACGTTCTTTAGCCTAGATCCTGATCTCGGCTGAAGAGAACTAATTTTTTTGGGCATTCTTGCCAAACTTCCTGATTGCCTCTTGCTAGGAATGATTGAGAACAACTTTTACAGTAAAAAGACTTATGTTGGAAAAGTAAACTACTTGCTTTATTAGAAAAAGGGTAAAAATTACAAATATTCTAAGAGAAAGCTAAAAATAAAATAACTTGAGATGGGCAGTGTTCCATGGCCTGGGAATAGCCTTGCTGTCTCCATCTTCCAAGTGATATGCCCATTTTCCCGCTAAACCAACCACTTTGTACGGTCCTTCCCAATTAGGTCCCAACTTGCCATCTCCGGGTACCAAAGTGTTGCCCATTACTTTGCGTAATACCCAATCCCCAATCTTGAATTGCCTCGGATGCACCGTTTTGTTATATTTTCTGGATAACTCCTGCTAGTACAAAGCATTGTGAACTAGAGCTCTTTCTCTTCTAAGGCTATGGCCTCTCCATTTAAGTCTGGGTCTAAATTTTCAATTCTAATAGTGGGGAGGCCTACTTCCAGTGGGATTACTGCCTCCATGCCATAAGCTAGGGAAAAAGGCGTTTCTCCAGTTGACCGCCGATGTGTGGTACGGTAAGCCTATAAAACATGAGGAAACTCCTCAACCCACTTGCCTTTTGCTTTCTCCAACCTTTTCTTCAATCCATCTAAGACGACTTTGTTTGATGCTTCTGCCTGGCCATTTGCTTGGGGATATGCTGGTGTAGAGTTGTAAAATTCTATCTTGTATTCCTCACAAAAGCCTCTAAAAATTTTGTTATCGAACTGAGTGCCGTTGTTAGATATTAAAGCCTTGGGTATGCCGAATCGAGTGATGATATTCTGTCAGAAGAACTTCTTCACGTCTTTCTCCTTTATTGATGCGAGTGCTTCTGCCTCCAGCCACTTTGTGAAGTAGTCTGTTGCTGCAAGAAAGAACTTTCTGTTGCCTGGTGCCGTTGGAAGTGGTCCTACTATGTTCAAGCCCCACATTGCGAAGGGCCATGGGCTAGTTAATGGTAGAAGCTCTCTGGCTGGTTGATGTATTTGGTGTGCGAACTTTTGGCATTTCTCGCACCTCTTGACATACTTCTCTAAATCTGCTTGCATTTATGGCCACCAATATCCTTGTGAAATTGCTCTGTAGGCCAATGATCTTCCCCCTTGGTGGCTTCCGCATACGCCTTCGTGTATCTCAAATAAGAATGTTTCGACCTTGCTGGGATGAACACATTTCAGGTAA